TTGTGTTCCCAATACATGTTAGGAAAAATCTATGATTCCCCCCAAGTAAATCAATCAATGGGAATAAAAACTAATGCGAAAAAATTAAATTAAAAGCAACACAAGAATTTTTACGTGATTCCCTCAATGTGAGGTACGTCCACGGGATCGAAATCTGATTTCACTATCAACCAAATAAGTTTCCAAACGATTACAAACGAGACACGAATGATCTCACAAAACCACCCTTAGGTGAATTCCAAATAATCACAAATAAATAAAGAGGAAAGACCTCACCAAATAGATGAACAAAAATCTTAAGGAACCAGAATTGAATAAGACCCAAAATAATAATCCAAATCAACTCCACCAAAATAACAAAATATTCACCAACTTGATTCCACACAAAATTAGTGCACCAACTTGAATATACACCCAAGAATCAATGCACCCAAGTATATCAATGTTGCTGCAGCTTCACTCAACTTGGGGAAAAACCAAATTAATGATCACCAGTTGCTGCCTTCAGAACAAGTAAATAATGAGGCAGTCGTATATCACTTTTCTCTTAGGAAAAATAATATCAAAAAATATGTGTTGTGAATCTAGGGTTTTTTTATCAAAATCTTATTGTTTCCAAATTGAATTGGGTCTCCACAAAATTAGATATAATATACATAAAATATATTATACCTAAACCAAACCAAATTAAAATTCTTTAACCAAAACCAATTGGGTCTCAAACTCCAATAAGGAGGTATACCCAACACTTCTCCCCCTACAGACTTAGATGGAGACATCAACCATACCTGCCAAAGTTCGACACTTTAAATGTTTATCCATCGACAAAGTCTTTGTCAACATATCTGAAATATTATCATCTGTGTGAACCTTTTCGAGTTGCAACAACTTCGAATCTAACACATCACGAATCCAGTGGTATTTCACATCAATGTGTTTCGATCTCGAATAAAAAGTAGAATTTTCACTCAAGTGAATAGCACTTTGACTATCACAATAAAGCATATACTTTTCTTGCTTCAAACCCAACTCTTGCAAAAATTTCTTCAACCATAACTCTTCTTTGCAAGCTTCCGTAATGGCAATAAATTCAGCTTCGGTAGTTGAGAGAGCAACACATTTTTGTAATTTAGATTGTCATGCCACTGCTCCCCCTACAAAAGTCATCAAATACCCCGAAGTAGATTTCCTAGAATCAATATCGCCGACCATGTCAAAATCTGTGAACCCATCAAGCATCGGCTTACTATCCCCAAAACACAAACTTACCTTCGAAGTCTCTCGAAGATACCTCAGACTCCATTTTACTGCTGCCCAATGTTCTTTACCCGGATTAGAAAGAAACCGACTCACCACACCAACGGCGTGAGCAATATCCGGCCTTGTACAAACCATGGCGTACATCAAAGAACCAACTGCTGAAGCATAAGGAACTTTCAACATCTCTTCCTTGTCTTTTTCACTTATAAGACATTGATTCGAACTAAGCTTGAAGTGATCTGCAAGTGAACAACCAACTGGCTTCGCTTTATCCATATTGAACCTCTCAAGAACTTTCTCAATGTAGCTTTCTTGACACAACCAAATCAGCCCCTCTTTGCGATCACGAACAATTTTCATACCAAGTATTTTCTTTGTCGATCCCAAATCTTTCATAGCAAAAGATTTACTCAACTCTAACTTCAACTTGTTAATCATGGTAGAATCTTGACCCACAATTAACATGTCATCAACATAAAGCAAAAGAATAATAAATTTATCATCCGGGAAATTTTCACAAACACACAATGGTCCGAAGTAGTTTTAGAAAAACTATTATTCATCATGAAAGAGTCAAATTTTTTGTACCATTGCCGCGGGGCTTGCTTGAGGCCATACAAACTTTTCTTCAATTTGCAAACAAATTTCACTTTCTCTTTGTCCACAAAACCTTCTGATTGCTCCATGTAAATTTCTTCTTCAAGATCACCATGAAGAAATGCGGTCTTCACATCAAGTTGTTCAACTTCAAGGTTCATACTTGCAGCCATGCCAAGTACAACCCGAATAGAAGACATCTTCACAACTGGCGAGAAAATTTCATCAAAATCAATACCTTTCTTTTGCCCAAAGCCTTTCACAACAAGACGTGCTTTGTACCCCAGATTCTTGCCATCATTCTTCAATTTGAAGACCCAGTTATTTTTCAAAATTTTCCTCCCTTTAGGCAACTTCACTAAATCATAGGTGTGATTTTCAAGTAAAGAATTCATCTTCTCTTCCATGGCCTTTTTCCAATCACCTTTCTTTACATGCTCAATTGCTTCTACGTAGCTCTCAGGCTCCCCTTGATCGGAAATCAACACAAATTCATTAGGAGGATACTTTTTGAAGGTTGTCGGTCCCTTGTAGATTTTCTCAACTCAAGTTGTGGTGGCGGTTCTTGAGTTGGATGTTCTTCCTCAATTTCTGGCTCAATTTCATTAGGATTAGCATCATCCTCTACATCTTCAATAGGTGGCTGTACATCTCCCCCATTTTCATCATCCACCGAAGATGAAGGAGATGGATCCATGTCAGTGAGATCACTAGTTTTTGGCTCCGGTTGATCACCTTTGCCAAAGTCTTCAATTGTTTGGTCTTCAAGAAACACAACATCACAGCTTCGAATGATTTTCTTGTCGACCGGATCCCACAATCTATACCCGAATTCATCTCGCCCATAGCCAAGAAAAATACATTGTCTTGACTTGCTATCAAGCTTGGACCTCTCATTTTTTGGAATGTGAACAAAAGCTCGGCAACCAAACACTCTCAAGTGCTCATAAGATACATCTTTACCGGTCTAAACTCTTTCTGGAACATCACCATTCAAAAGATAGGAAGGAGACAAATTGATCACGTCAACCGTTGTCTTCATTGCCTCACCCCAAAAGGATCTTGGCAATTTAGCTTGTGAAAGCAAACACCTTGTTCTTTCCACAATGGTGCGGTTCATCCTCTCGGCAACCCCATTTTGTTGAGGAGTCTTCTTAACTGTCTTTTGGTACCGAATACCTTGGCTGCGACAATACTTATCAAATGGTCCAATGTATTCACCACCATTGTTTGATCGGATGCACTTCAATTTTTGCCCCGTTTCTCTTTCAATCATAGCCTGAAAATGCTTAAATACTTTTAGAACTTGATCTTTAGTTTTTAGTAAAAAAGCCCAAACTTTCCTTGAATAATCATCAATGAAAGTAACAAAATAAAGTGCACCACTATGTGTTCTAACTTTCAAAGGACCACAAACATCCGAATGAATCAACTCCAAAACATTTTCTTTTCTAGAAGTAACATTTTTCTAAAAAGAAACTCTATGTTGTTTACCCGCCAAACAATGAATACAAGTTTTAAGATGTATACCTTTCAAACCGGGTAGAAGCTCTTTCTTAAACAAAACTTGCAGCCCCTTTTCGCTCATGTGGCTAAGCCGCTTGTGCCACAATTCGGTAGAAGTATAATCTTCAAGTGCATTGACAACACCTTTACAAATTTTTTCTTGCATCGAATAAAGTGTATGAGTCTTTTTGCACTTAGCCACCACCAAAGAACCCTTTGTGAGCTTCCATATTTCATCACCAAATTTGTTGTTGAAGCCTTCATCATCTAGCTTCCCAGTAGAGATCAAATTGAGGCGAATGTCAAGAACATGCCTCACATCTTTAAGCAACAACTTGCAGCCTAAATTTGTTTCTAAGCAAACATCACCCATGCCAATAATCTTGGACAAACCTTCATTACCTATTCGAATAGAACCATAATCTCCTTTGGTGTAGGTAGTGAAGAAATCAAATCGAGAAATCACATGAAAAAAAGCACCGGAATCAATCACCCAATTGCTCTCTTGGCCCACAAAATTGATACAATCATCTTCACAAACGACCATGAGATCATCGGTAGTAACTGCCGTTGTGTCTTCTTGCTTCTTTTTAGTTTTCCAAGTTACCCAATTGCTTTCATTGAAACTAGACATACGACCCATAGTTCCCTCCATTGATTTACACAAATAAATAAACCCCAATAAACCGTAAGCTTTGATACCAGTTGTTAGGGAAAATCTATGATTCCCCACAGGTAAATCAATCAATGGGAATAAAAATTAATGCGGAAAAATTAAATTAAAAGCAACACAAGAATTTTTACGTAGTTCCCTCAATGTGGGGTGCGTCCACGGGATCGAAATCTGATTCCACTATCAACCAAATAAATTTCCAAACGATTACAAACGAGACACGAATGGTCTCACAAAACCACCCTTAGGTGAATTCTAAATAATCACAAATAAACAAAGAGAAAAGATCTCACCAAATAGATGAATAAAAATCTTAAAAAACCAGAATTAAATAAAATCTAAAATAATAATCCAAATCAACCCCACAAAAATAACAAAATATTTACTAACTTGATTTCACACAAAATTAGGGCACCACCTTGAATATGCACCCAAGAATCAATGCACCCAAGTATATCAATGTTGCTACAGCTTCACTCAACTTGGAGAAAAACCAAATTAATGATCACCAGTTGCTGCCTTCGGAACAAGTAAGTAATGAGGCAGCCGTATATCACTTTTCTCTTCGGAAAAACAATATCAAAAAATATGTGTAGTAAATCTAGGGTTTTTTATTAAAATTTTATTATTTTTAAATTAAATTAGATTTTCACAAAATTAGATATGATATATATAAAATATATTATATCCGAACTAAACCAAATTAAAATTCTTTAACCAAAATCAATTGGGTTTCAAACTTCAATAAAAAGGTATACCCAACAATACATTAGTGTTATTAATGGTGCTCTTTTTACTTGTATGAATCATTGTTGTTTTTTTATAGTATAATTATTATATTTTAAAAAATATTAATTGTTATAATTTTATTTTTTGTATTATTAATAAATTTAAAAGGATAAAATAATAAATTTATATTATTTTATTCATTAATATTTTTAAAAAATAAAATAAAATACTAATATTTTAAAAGAGAAGGAGCAGCTATGTTGCCTTCTTGAATCATTGAAGGTAAGTCCAGCCAGCCAACACCAAAGCAGCACTCCCCAAAATAATGGTGCAAATTTTCAACGAAGATCTCGTGAGTTGGTACCTCATCACCTTGAAACTCAAAGAAACTGTAATAGCCAGAATCCAACAAAGTCCTATTCCCACTCCTACAGCCCCCTCATCAATTGACCCGGAAAAACAACATCAAGAACATCTTCAGATCAGACAACATCATCACCAACGAATCATGAGCAATCCAGAAACTGGTCACAAATTTGAAGAGAAGACCAACAAAACACCAGACCATTCGGAGTGGGTGATCAACATCAAAGAAAAACTCGACCAAGCCCGCCGAGAAAACACAACATCTGCCTGGTCAAAGATGTGCATCTACAGAGTCCCTCAGTGCCTGCTAAAAAGTGACGACAAAGCTTATATTCCCCGGACCGTCTCCTTGGGGCCTTACCACCACGGGCGGAGAGACCTTCGCACCATGGACCGCCACAAGTGGCGCGCCCTTCACCGTGTCCTGAAGCGTACCCAGCACGACATTAGTCTATATCTGGACTCCATTAAAGAGATGGAACAGCATGCCCGTGCTTGTTACGAAGGCACGATTTCTCTCAGCAGCAATGAATTTGTGGAAATGATGGTGCTCGATGGCTGCTTCATACTGGAGCTGTTCCGAGGGGCTATTGAGGGCTTCAAGAAGCTAGGTTACTCCCGGAAGGATCCTATCTTCGCGATGCGTGCCTCGATGCATTCGCTTCAGAGGGACATGATAATGCTCGAAAACCAGATTCCCCTCTTCATACTGGATCGTCTGTTAGGGCTCGAGAACGGCGATCCTCACCAGAGAGGGCTTGTGGCCAAGCTGGCAATCCAATTCTTCGATCCGCTAATGCCAACCGATGAATCATTGACGTCGTCGTCATCCTCATCATCGTTCAAGAATTTAACCACGTTCGATCCATTCGCAGAGCAAGGCGGGCTTCACTGCCTCGATGTTTTCCGGCGAAGTCTCATGCGCGTGGGGCCTAAACCCGAACCCAAACACTGGATCAACCGGTGGTCTTCGCAGGCGAACCTGGTGGTCGCCGACAAGCGGCGGCAACAATTGGTCCATTGCGTGACTGTACTGAGAGAGGCAGGGGTTAAATTCAAGAAGGAGAAGACAGATCGGTTCTGGGACATAAAATTCAAGGACGGGACTCTGAGCATTCCTCGGCTGTTGATCCATGACGGTACCAAATCGCTGTTGCTCAACCTGATCGCGTTGGAGCAGTGCCATCTCGATTGCAACAACGACATAACCTCGTACGTGATATTCATGGACAATTTGATAAACTCCCCTGCGGATGTGGCTTACCTCCATTACCACGGCATAATCGAGCACTGGCTAGGCACCGATGGGGAAGTAGTGGACCTCTTCAACCGCCTTTCGGAAGAAGTGCTTTTCGACATCGATGGCAGTTTTCTTTCGCAGTTGTCGGAGCAGGTGAACAGGTATTACAATTACAGGTGGAATGCTTGGCGTGCGAGCTTGAGGCATAATTACTTCAACAATCCCTGGGCTATCATCTCCTTCCTTGCTGCTGTGGTCTTGTTGCTGATTACTTTTACTCAGACTTTTTATGCAGTTTATTCCTATTACAAACCTCTTTCTTGAGCAGCTTTGATAATTGCACAACATCCCGATTCTGTATCTTACTATTATTTTATTTTTAACTGATACCGCATTTTGTATTTTGTAATTTCTCGGTCACTTCTCTTGTGTTCATAGGGTGCAATGCAAATTCCTTTTATTATTAATGAAGCGTTGAGTTATAATTATCGGAGTTTGCCAACGATGATCCATGCCAAACTTATATGTTTGATTTATGTTTTTTTTCTCTTTCATGTTGGTTTTTAGTTGGTATTGTACCTTAAAACATTATTATTTTGTAATTTCTTTTCTTTTTATGTTTTTTTTTTTCATTTCATGATCCATGCCAAAGTCAACATAATTTATCCTTAATTTAATTAAATAATAATAATAAAAAAATTAATCAGCTGTACTAGGCATTTTAGCATTATTCGAGCGAAAAACACTTGGTCTTAAATGAAATGAGAAACACTTGGTCTAAAAAAATTGATGCATTTTAGTTGTGTGTCTCTTTCTCCCAGAATCACGCATATCAAGTAGCCTTTAGCCTTAGGGCTGTGGTTTACTTCACCTCATCACCATCACCAGCCACTTCCAAGTAAAAGTGGACCCCTCACAGAACTCGTACGGTCAACTATGCCATAATAAGGATGTTTGGATAAGTTAGTAAAAAATTGATTTTTGACTTTTTATTAAATTTTTTAACTTTTTTTAAAGTAATTTGAGAAGTTGGTAAATAGTTATTTTTTTTTTATTTTTGGTTTAATATTTTTTAAAAGCGTCACATCATTTTAAAATGATCAAAATATCCTTACTTTTTTATTTTTGAATTAATTAATTAAAATATTTCAGAGAATAATTTGGTAAATTTGGGTGCTGCGTTCTTGGGTCTTCCCAAATGAGATTTTCTGGGTTTTGTGTGTGTTTGGCGTTTTGGGAAAGCTCTCAAAAAGTTGCGTTTTGGGAAGGTTGCCAAAACGGCACTAAGGCCTCGTTTGGGAATAGGCTAATTTAGTAATTTTTTGACTATTTGGCTAAAATATGAGCTAAGAAAAACTAGTATGTTTGGAATGACTTTTTAGCTTTTTACAAAAATATGTACAAAAAGTAGAGAGAAAAGAGAATCTTTGATTTTTTGGTATAAGTTGTTGGTTTTTTGATTAATTTAGTAACTTTTTGACTTTTTGACTAAAATGGAAGGTTCCCAAACAAGGCCTAAGGGCAGCTCAACTGTCCTATAAGTTAAAAATCAGTTTTTTTTTATGTTTTTAGAAAAAATGTGAAAAAAATAAAAATATCAATAAATTGACTTTTAACCTAGGCCTATTATGGTTAAAAGTCTATTTTTTAATTTTTTTTATTAAAAATGTATAAAAGAATAGAAAAATAACATGATCTAAAAAATCAAAAAATAAATAAATTAACTTTTAACCTAATTACAAAAGAGACCTAAAACTGTTGGCCCTGTTTAGGAACCAGATTTGGGACTAAAATAGCCTTAAACACTAAATAAATAAATAAATAAATAAATAAAATAAAATAAAATAAAAAAAAGTAGCCCAAGCCACGGTCACACTGACAACCTGCCATTGTCACGTTGACTGCCTGCCTCCCAGCTAGTAAATGATAATTTTATCCTTTTAATTAATTTTGAATGTCTTGCGTTAGATATAAATCTGTTATTTTAGTTTTAAATATTATTTCAAACATATTTTTAAAACAATAATTAATTAAAAATTTTAATTTAATTTTTCAAATATAAAAATTAAAATAACCTATTAAAATAATTAAAAAATCAAAAAAATAACCACTTCCCGCCAACAGCAACAGCACGGTATTAAAGAGAATAGACAGATTCGGTCTACAAAAGTAACCATGTTGTTTGGGCACCTAAGTTTAGTTCTATATCAATAATTTATTTTTAAATTATAATTTAGATAATAATATATGAATTATTCATTAAAGAAAAAAAAGAAGAAGAAATTACTACTCAATAACTCTACAGAATTATTACATACCATTTATAAAATTTATCATTTATTTGTAATTATTTTATAGAGTTACCATTGAATTGAAATTTTCTTATAAAAAATTAGATTAATTTGATACATATAAAGATATAATTTTATTGCAAATATCTGTTAAAAAATATATGATCCAATTTTTAAATAATATTTATCATTTATTATTTCATAAATAAATGTCATCAATTAACGTAACTACTGTTATATTGATTTTTTTAATAAATAATTTACATATTATGCTTTAAAAGATGACAATTCAAAGATTGACTAGTGGGGGCATGAAATAACTTCTCTTTTTATAATCTTAGTGATTGGATTGTGACATAATCACCGAATAAATTTTGGGTGGCCTATCAATATATATAAATAGTTGGACTTAATTTCATTAAATCTTATTCAAAGTTAAGATGTCGTTAAAAATATTTTTTTGTGACTTTTTTTACATAAGTGGCTAAAAATTAATAATTAGTGACTTCTTTGTCACGATTTTTATAAATTATTGTTAAAATTTATAATTAGTAATATGTTTCCGTGATAAATTTTTCAAATAGTTGCTAAAAGCTAAAATCAGTAACTTTTTTTTGTAACAATCTTTTAAAATTGTCACTAAAACTTATTATTAGTGACTTTTTGTAATAATAGTTTCAAACTATTATTGAAAATTAACAATTAGTGATATTTTTTAGAAAAAATTAATGAAATATTCCTCTCCAACTTTATGTAGTAGGAGAGGTCCAATATGTTTTTTTGAATTAACTAAGGTCTCAAAACATTTTCATAAAAAAAATTTGACTTAAAAAAATTTTACCAGAAAAATTTTACCCGATTTAAAATTTTTTTGTCCAACTAGAATAGTCATAAAGATTGACTGGATGAAGAGTAAGAAATGAGGCGGAACAGTGGTGGCTACTATGCCTACTGTTGGGTACAGTCCCGGCCATATTCATATAATTTAAATAGTTCACTTTGTAAAATTTATTGTATAAATTATTAATATATAAAAAATTAGATTAATCATGTATTTATAATTAATTAATCAGATCACGTTTATTTTTAAAAAAATATATGTAATATATTTTCAAAATCATATTAAGAATAATATGATATGATATATGATTACTGATTTCTAATCAATTTAATTCTTTTTTATAAAGATAAATTATTCAACAAATCCTATAAACTATACTATTAAGATTATGAAAACAATCTCAAGATGAGCCCACAAATGGCATAGCAGCTCCTCCAGAGGTCACAGCCAGTACTCTGAATGGTAAACCAAACCTTTTTAAGTTCAATACAGTCTATTTTTCCTCCAGTCTAGATCTAAGGTCAAGTTTGGCATACCCAAAATAATTCACTTTTTATCTTTTTATCTTTTTTTTATCACATCACCTCTCTACTTTTCTGCACATCTTTTCGTAAAAAGACAAAAAGTACACTTATTTAGGTCATCCCAAACAACCCCTAAATTAGAGGACATTATTTGGGTTTGTTGGGCGCATTAGGAGTCTTTTTTCAATGATTCAAATAATTTATTTTATAAAACATTTTATGTATATCATCCTAAAAAAAATTAAATTGATTTAATAATTATAAATTATTCGATTTATTGGGTTTGTCACCAAAAAATAAATGATCTATTTTCAAGAGTACATGTGTCATTCATTTTTTTGAAAAAAATATCATAAATTGATGATTTTTTTAAAGTTATATTAAAATTTTATACTTTTCAGTTCCTTTAATTTAGAAAAAGTATAAATATATATGTATATCATAATTATTCAAAAAGGTTTACCAAACACAATAAAATTTCCAAACCCCTGGGAACTTTTTCAAGAACAAAAAATAATTTCTGTAACAATTTTTAAAAATAAGCTATTTTAGTAATTTTTAATTTGTTGACTAAAATACAAGATAAAAAATTAGTATATTTAAAATAATTTTTTATTTTTTTACGAAAAATGTCCAAAAAATAGGAAAAAAATAAAATCTTTGACTTTTTAATTGACTTTTTAACTTTTTAAGTGATTTTTTAATTTTTAAACTATTTTTTGAAGTCCCAAACTTAGCCTCAATCAATTTTTTTTAACAACTCTTTATCCTAAAAAAAAAGACCTAAAACAGCTAAAAATAATACCAAACTAAACCTTATTTTTTTACAAAAAATGTCCAAAAAATAGGAAAAAAAAAAATCTTTGACTTTTTAATTGACTTTTTAACTTTTTAAGTGATTTTTTAATTTTTAAACTATTTTTTGAAGTCCCAAACTTAGCCTCAATCAATTTTTTTTAACAACTCTTTATCCTAAAAAAAAAGACCTAAAACAGCTAAAAATAATACCAAACTAAACCTTAACTAATACATCTCATTTGCAAGTGATTTCGATGTGGAGGGAGGAGGTTTCTTATCTAATCGCAATTTCCTACTCCATCTATGCCAATAGTAATATCCAATTTCGGCTACCTAGCCCACTCATAAAGCAAACATAAAAAGCCAAATTATTGATAATGGAGACTATAAAATATCAATGATATGAAAACGAATATTATTCCTTACTGTTGCTGGTGTGGTGTGTGACAGCTGACAAAGCAACTAGATTGATGGAAACTTTGACGGTAGAAAGGATGTGGATATGAATATGAACAACCCAAAAGAATGGCATGCTTTCACATGGAGAAATAAATCCCAAGTTACAGTTTTTTTATTTGCTTTGTATCAGGTCAAATTTGACCCAAAAAGTGTCGGGTCAAACAAAATCGACATTACAACTTAAATTTTACATGTTCAGCAATTATAAAACCTAACTTCTCTGGCATTACCGACTAAAAATGCTATGCAAAGCACTTGCTGATGAAAAATAAATAAATTATATTCACCTCCTTAAAATTAGAAAAAAAAATATTATAAGTCTCATAATTTTGATATGAGTATATATTGGGCTTGTGTATGGTGGATTTGTATAGGAATGTGAAAAAATAAAAAGAAATTGAAAAAAAAAAATTAACTTATATTTCATTCACATTTGCTTCAACATTCTTCGTTCTCTTTTTTAATGGCTACCCAAATCCATGAACCAACACAGTTTTAAATTTTTTATTCACATAACATTTAGTCTCATTTTTATCGATAATTTGTTAATCATATAAATAGAAAATTGATGTTATCTATTTCACAGTGAAATGTATATATTTTTCCTTATTTAGGTTATATGATTTCACTCTATTTGCATTCGTTCCGGTCTCTTTATCTTTACTAAAATGGAGGTTAATATAATTATGTCAAAATTGTAAGGCTACTAGTATTTTCACCAAACCTTAACGCTATGTTTAGTTGGGAGATTTAGGAAGGAATTTAGAAAAGGAAAAAAAAAATGTAGATAAAATATAAATAAAATATACCTACATTTCACATAGTTTCATACATTTTTTTCCTTTCTCTTTTCAAATCTCTTTCTAAATTCTCAAACCAAACACAACGTAAGAAAAGTTAATGTAATTTATCTATAAAAAAATATAATAAAAAAATGGGGGCAATTCCACTTGGGCAATCTTTGCATGTGACATCGAATCAAGGTTCTAAATCGCGGTATCGGGTAACAACGGTATCAATCGCGGAATATCGGTATCGGTAGTATCAATCAGTACGTATAAGGAATCGGGTGTCGCGGTAGTGAAATTTTAAAAATCATTTCACAGGTTTTTTAGGCTTTTTTTTCATACCGGTCCGAACCGGTGAGTATCGACCCGTCGCGACTTGTGTAACGGCTTGTGTAATGGTTACAGACCGATACGTACCGGGACTCAACCGATTCTCCTGCGATTTTCAATCTCAGCGATATACCAGCCTGTATCCGTCGCCGTGCCCTATTTTTCCGATACATAGCGCATTGGCCGGTTTTTTAGAACTATGCATCGAATAGCGTCAGTAGTTCAATCTACCTGAAGTTTCAATCTCTAGGAAGTAAGGCTAGCACTTTCTGTCAAGGGTTCCCTCTTCCGATCATACAGCTGAAAAGAGAAATTTACCAAAATTGACAATTTGATGCTAACAACAAAATGAACGTACCAGACACAAATTAAACCAGCTAATTTTACAACCCCTGTTTCCCGAGGGAGAATGGAACATATTTGTATTTTTAATCATATGTAGTATCTGTCGCTTCATGGTAAGAGTGAATAGTAGCACCCAGTAGACAAGGAGTATTGGCCAAGACACGGGCACATCAAATATGCTGAAGAATGTCATCACCAAACAAATGCAGAAGGTTGTGATTGAGTACCTTTCCAAGAAGAAAAAGAAACGAAAGAGAGCTCAATCCATGTTACATTACCAACTAAAAAGCAGGGATTTTCTAGCAATTAAAGTAGCACGAAGATTTTAGATTAAGACTAAGTTTGGCAATTCAAAAATAATATCTTTTTATCTTTTTATCTTTTTTCCATCATATCACCTCTCTACTTTTCTGTACATTTTTTCGTAAAAAGATAAAAAGTACACTTATTTAGATCATCTCAAACAACCCCTAAAATAAATAAACTGAAGGCAAACACAAAATCTCATTTCATATTCACCCAAAAACATATCATTTCATGATATCCGATATTATCACCAAAAAAATGGGATAAAAGATATTTTATGACCTCACTTAAACATACAAAAGATATTTAACATAATGGAAGAAAGCAATTGTTTACACCTACCACTGTCACCAAAAAGATGGGATAAAAGATATTTCATGACGTTACTTGAACATAATCTGCTCTATCTGTCCTTGAGTTCTAAGGAAGCATGAATAGCATATACGTGACATAACATGAATACACTTAACACATCAATTTTCAAAAAATATAGAATACAACGCGTGAGGGGCACATAATAATATGTAATTTTATATATTTATTATATGTTATATATAGGAATATATCATTTTAAAAAAATAAATAAATGTAATATAATACTAATTTCTATATTTTAACATTATTTTTCTTTTATCATGTATCAGTGTCCGCTCTGAGTTTTTTGAGACCCAAAGCGAACACTAAATATGGAGTCCGGATCCTCTAGGGTGATTCCCTGAAGTGATCCTCTAGAGTGATAATTTATGATGCGACACGTGTCCAATTAATGAAATCAATGGTTGAGATGTTCCCTCTCCAAAACGACGTCATTTTGGTTTTAATTTTTTTTTTTTTTTCAGATCTGGAAGGAGGAAGGAATGGGTTAGAGAGAGAATCTCCTCATTCTCTCTAGAACCAGAGAAACAACAGGTTCAAAGCACTCAAACTCCAAGAAACAACATTTGATTCAGACACAAACCCACAGATTCAGACTCAAATAACATTTGATTCAGACACAAACCCACAAAACACTCAAACTCCAAAATTTTGCAGACAAAAATTCAGCAAGAGTCCCATTTCTCAAGTGACTGGAATATAGCAAAAATTCAGCAAGAGTCCCATTACAGGTTCAAGATATAGTCTGGAATAGTTGCACCCCAGCGGTGTGGCAGCGGCAGCGGCGACCGTGGCGCGTCGGACGTCGGAAACTCTCTGCCCTTCTCTCTCTCTCTCTTCCTCTCTCTCTCTCTAATTTCAGATTTCCAGGAACCTTCGTTGTTTTGAAACACCAAAATCGGATTTTTTTTTTTTTTTTTAACTTGTATCTAATCGTATGAATCGAATCGTGAATCATATGATTCTGTCAACCATGGGTATTTGTACTAAACTCTCTGCCCTTCTCTTTCTCTCTTCCTCTCTCTCTCTCTCTAATTTCAGATTTCCAGGAACCTTCGTTGTTTTGAAACACCAAAATCGGATTTTTTTCTTTTTTTTTCAAAATACTCACCAAAACGACGTCGTTTTGGTGAGTTTTATTCTCAGTCATTCGATCAAGTACTTTAGGATCACTCTAGGAGATTAACTCTAGAGGATCCGCACGCCTAAATATGGGACCTTTCATACGTATTTTAAAAAAAAATGATATTCACGAAAAGTCTATTAAATTTTACTTAAATATATAACAAAGTTTATGATAACAAAAAGGATCAAAATGAATTTTTTTTTTTTTAAATTTTTTTTCACCAAACTAATTTTTGAAAAAATTTAAGAAACAAATAGTGAAAACAAAATTAATATCTAAGCCCTCCTAACTCTAAAGCAATTCATAGAACATCATTGACAAAAAGGAATTCATTATGAATCAGAATCAACCACATAATCAGCAAAACCAATACCAAAAAAAAACACACACACACACACGTACACAAAATTCTGAGAAGGAACTGAGAGGGTAAAGTAAAGCAATTAACAATTTTTTGAGATGATTGATTCATTGTTCGAAATCGGAGGCAAGAATAGTACTCACCGAATATTTGAAAGATCTGGCGGTGAGAAGGGCAGCCACCGACGAAGGCCTGGGATGGACGGTGGAGAGTCGGAGTTGATGGCAGAAAGAGACAACGCACAGGATGAATGAGGAACAGCAACAATAGATTGTTGAGCCTCAAATTAGTTCACTTTATTTAAGTTTTAAAAATTTTAGAATAGGCCTCAAGTTTTTTGGACCTTTTAATTTAATTTGGGCTTTGTATTTCAAGTGGACCTTTTTAATGAATCTATATTTTAAATTGGGCTTTTTATTCATTTAGGCCTCATTTGGGAACAGGCTAATTTAATAATTTTTTTGATTATTTGGCTAAAATATGAGCTAAAAAAAACTAGTATGTTTGGGATGATTTTTTGACTTTTTACGAAAAGATATGCAAAAAGTAGAGAGAAAAGAGAATCTTTGACTTTTTGGTATGGGTTGTTGACTTTTTGACTAATTTAGTACCTTTTTGACTTTTTAACTAAAAAAGATGTTATCCACCCAAAAAAAACTAAAAAGATGGTTCCCAAACGAGGACTTAGTTTAGATTATTTAGTACTTTAAACTATAATTTTGAGTTGGGTCTTTTTTTACATAGAACCAGGCGTATTCTAATTTATTTTATCCAAACTATTCAAAAATCATCATTATGGATTAACCCAACGTAACCTCAACAACCCAAAGCCCGCCTCCACCCTAATGAATCTATATTTTAAATTGGGCTTTTTATTCATTTGGGCCTCATTTGGGAACAGGCTAATTTGGTAACTTTTTGACTATTTGGTTAAAATATGAGCTAAAAAAAACTAGTATTTTTGGGATGATTTTTTGAATTTTTACGAAAAGATGTGCAAAAAGTAGAGAGAAGAGAGAATCTTTGACTTTTTGGTATGGGTTGTTGACTTTTTGACTAATTTAGTAACTTTTTGACTTTTTGACTAAAAAAGATAGTTCTCAAACGAGGACTTAGTTTAGATATTTAAACTATAATTTTGAGTTGGGTCTTTTATTTTATCCAAACTATTCAAAAATCATCATTATGGATTAACCCAACGTAACCTCAACAACCCAAAGCCCGCCTCCACCCTAATGAATCTATATTTTAAATTGGGCTTTTTATTCATTTGGGCCTCATTTGGGAACAGGCTAATTTGGTAACTTTTTGACTATTTGGTTAAAATATGAGCTAAAAAAAACTAGTATGTTTGGGATATTTTTTGAATTTTTACGAAAAGATGTGCAAAAAGTAGAGAGAAGAGAGAATCTTTGACTTTTTGGTATGGGTTATTGACTTTTTGACTAATTTAGTAACTTTTTGACTTTTTGACTAAAAAAGATAGTTCTCAAACGAGGACTTAGTTTAGATATTTAAACTATAATTTTGAGTTGGGTCTTTTTTTAATTTTTTGAATTTAATTTTTTTTAAATTAAATTTTTTGGTTTTTATATTTTTTTTAGTAAATATTTTTTTACTTTTTTAGATACACCTTGATGAATCTAAAAAGTAAAATATTTTAAAAAATCAATAAATACAGAAAAATTTTAAAAATGTATTGAATTCTCTTCTTTTTTTTATTAATATTTTTAGTATTTAGTGAATCAAAAATGTCTAAGACCCTCTTTTTTTCCCATCCCCTTTGATCCCCTCTCTTTCTCATTGGTTGGATTTTCTTTTTCTTTTTTTTTGTTTCCCTTATCCTCCAATCACCACCTGCCACATGTGTGGGGGTGGTGGAGGTGGTGATTGGAGGGAGTCTCCATCACTCCTCCGTTTGGAAAAAGCTAATTTAACCCAATTTTTTTACTTTTTAACTAATTCAGCCTAGTTAAATTAATTTCGTTTAAGAAAAACTTTTGGTTTGAATGTGATAGTTGTGAGAAAAAAAATAAAATGATTAAAATTTGAATGTAACATTTTATCTAATTAATTTATTTAACCTTTTTTTTTTGTAGCTATTTACTATTTAGGCAATTTAGCTATTGCCAAATAATAAAAATTCGGAAGTCTACTTCCGAACCAATTGTTTATTTTCGAAAAGCTACTTCCGAACCAATTGCTTATTTTCGGAAATCTACTTCCGAATCAATTATTTATTGAAAAAGATGTGTAAAGAGGGGAATGAGTGTGTGTAAATAGAAGCTCCCCTACCTACTATCTCTCCTAGACCCTACTTTAAACATTACCCTTATACATCGACATGGCCTTTTTTTCATATAATATCTTATCCTTAGATATGTCTAATCCAAGGTAGCACAAATCTTTAAAAGTAAAATTAACCTGATGCTAAATCAAATTTACATAATTCATTGTAGTTGAATATATTGTTATCGACATTTTTCCAAGAACGTGTCCACGAACAAAAAGCTGGTTGTCTCTAGCAAAAAAGTGTCTTGGTAGCATGACAAGTTACAACTATAATAGGAATCACTTTCACTTATAAGAAGTAAGCAAAGCATGTATTGGCTGGACTTTTGACTTTGGAATGCCAGTATGCCATAATAGAACCAACATTATGGCAGTTAAACACCATAGAAGCAGCATATATCTTTCCTTTTTATAAACAAATTCTTGTGGAAATTGAAGAAAACTACCCAGACCATGCCTCAACAAGCACTTGTTCATCGATGGACATTGAAAACTCCCCTACAATCCAGACCAGAATAAAAATTGTTCACCTATTAATAGAGTAATGTTCACTTTTAATTTTTTAAATTTAATTTTTAGAAATTAAACTTTTTTGTTTTTCATATTTTTTTATTTTTAGTGAATATTTTTAAAATTTTAAGTAATTTTTTTATTTTTTTAGATGCACATTATTTAGATGTATCTAAAAAATAAAATATTTGTAAAAAAATATTTAAAAAATCAATAAATACGCAAGAATATGAAAAATATACTTATTTTTTTTTATTTTTTATATTTAGTGAATTTTTTAAAGATTTTTTTGACAAATATTATATTTTTTAAGCATATTTATGTTAAGTGTATCTAAAAAATTAAAAATATTATTTAAAATATTAAAAAATTCAATAAAAACAAAAAATACGAAGAAAAAAAAAACTTTATTTTCTGAAATGTAAACTTGAAAACCAAGCTGATTGCCTCTATTGACAACCCATTCTTCACATTAACATAATCATCACTCAACAAATAGATTAAAAAAAAAAAAATCCATGAGAAATCATAAACAGCCATACACTTGAAAGTAATCGGCAGCAACAGAACAATACTAGCATTAATCATCAATTCAATTTGTTTGTGGAAATTCTATCGTAAATAAAAAAAAATTAGATGGGTTGGGCTTATTCACAAAAAATTTCATTACAAATTTGTCAGACAAATTAAACACAATACTCAAATTAAAAACAATGCAAAGTGAAATATCGATCGATAGAAGCGAAACGCAACTCACCAGAACTTAAACTAGGGAAGGCAACGGATGAAGGGGCGGAACTCGTCGGAGCCCTGAGTGGGGAGGGTTGGGCCATAGTCATATGGGTCTTGGGAGAGATAAACCCGATGAGGAGGTTTAAGATGTAGATGCGGAGACCATACGACATGATGTAGAAACCCTGGACCAAGTAGACTTTGATTATGTAGATGGTCACGATGGCTGCGAAGGTGATCCAGCGGTGGAGAACGTGCAGGGTTGACTTGTCCAACAAATGTTGGTACTGTTCAAGGCCAGTCCTGAGATTTATGGAGCCCAAGGCGAATTTCGGAAATAGGGCACCTCTTACTTTGAAAAAAAAAAAATTTATGGATAAAATGATAAATTATAACTTTTTTATTTGTTTGTAGCCACAAAAAAATTTACTTGCACATGTAATCATTAAAATTATAAATAAACATTTACTTTCATATATTAAGATAGGAAGCAATTATTACAAATACTCAAAAAAAAAATAAAAAACTGGTCTTGTTGTTTTATAGTTTAGCTATATCCAGTTTACAATTGAACCAACTATCACATAAACATTACCCTTCTCACATTTTTAGTTGCAAAATCACTAATGAAGTTTGCATAATCGAATTTATCCACCATATCCTTTTCAATGAATAATAAAGCTAACACACTCAATCTGTGGATTGTGTTTCTTTTTTATTTTTTTGGGCCTTATATTCAATTGGGCCTATAGTATTTGTGCCTCTTTTTTTTTTAATATCTAAAACACAAAATTATATTTGGAGGCCCCTATTTTCAGCCCAAATTTGGGGGCCCAAGGCGCAGGCCTCTCTTGCCTACCCTCAAGGTTGGCCCTGGTACCGTTGAGACATGACGGAGCTCCACAGGAATACAACAGTCGTTGTAGTAGTTGTAGTTGATGAGAGATCGTCTGGAGAGTCATCGCCCTCTCTGCCATCCATATTAGACTTCTTGTGTTTGGTTGTTTCGTCAACTTCGTGTGTATGTAGGTGGAGAATGTAGACGTAACTGGAACTGGATGGTATTTGATAAAAGGATTAGAGTAACACTATGTTTGATAACTTAAGAAAATAAATGATTTTATAAGAGAAAATAAAAGAAAATAAATTATTGTGATTTTTTTCTTTTTTGTTTGGATAAGTAAAAAATAAAAGAAAAGAAATGATTGTGATTTCTTTCTTTCTTGTTTAATTAGATTACATAAGAGAAAATAAAAGATACTGTTTTTTGATATATTACTAAAATAACCTTTTTATATTTTGTTAATCATTTTATTTTTTTTATTTTTATAGGAACAAAGTTAGTTTTATAAAAATATAAGAATTTGTTGGTTTGTTTTCTCCCACAATCTCTCTACTTTTGGAAAGATTGAAAATGAAGATTATAAGAGAAATGGGTTTCACTCAATTTCTCCTCATTTCTCTCCACTTAAATTATCCAAATTTAAGTAAAAGAAATACATATATCTCAATTTCTTTTCTTTTCACTCCAAATCATTCAATCCAAACATAGTAAATGATAGACGTGATTAAACATTATCCATAAATTCATCACCAATGAGGTGATAATAAGATAGGAAGATTTTGCAAAAGACAAAAATATATATATATATATATATATATTTGCATTATTAACCCTGGTGATTGAGACATGCAAGCGTGCGTAGTTTAAATAAATATAAAATAAATAAAAAAAATATTATATCCTTTTTTTAATTTTTTCTTTTTTAAAAAACAAAATTAAGAAATTCACTTGGCACATAAAGAAAT